ATTAAAGGAAAAGATGTTTTCTACAAAGGAACATTGAGGGGAAGAATTAGAGAAAACGTAGAAGTGTGTATAGAAATATATAAAAATGAACCTTGCATGTGGCAAATTAAAAATGCAGCTCGTCATGAAAGAAATTGGAAAAATTGTGCTTATATAATAAAATTATGAATGCCAATGATCTTTGCCAGCCTACATTGTTCTTATATGAATTGTTCGCATTTCTAGATGATAATCAATTACTGCCACAATGCCATGTTTCAAATATGGCAGATTTGAAGATTGATTTTGATCGTGAAAGTTCAAAATAACTTTATTTATTATAAATATTTATTATAAAATTTAAAGTATAATATAAATAAAACAAATTTTGATCATCTCAATGAACAAAGTTATCTTGCCACAGCACAATTTCATCATTGTTGAAATAATGTACATATAGTTCTAGCATTATTTCCTAGATTTTGACACTGTTATTGTTCCATGCTTGATTATTAACCTTTAAACCTGGTGTGATGCATCCATGTTCTTTATTTTCGTGATCACAAACAATAAACATTCTGTACAAGTATATGAGTTCGAAGAAATTGACATTAAAGAGTTTGGTAAACCACGACTTACCATTGCCATCTCATAAATATTTTTATATACCAATTATTAATTTGTCTTTTTTATATTCTAAATCCTGAAGCCAAAATTCCAAAAGCATTTTCAACAATGCGTCTTGTTTGAGAAATAGATAGTTCTAAATCTTTTTATCTTTTGAATTTAAATTTGACTAAAGGAAAGGTCTCATCACGTTCATTCTTAAAGCAAAATCTTTACAAAGCTACAAATACATATGGGAATAGTTTAGAACTGTTTTGATAGGTACATGTAATGGAATATTCAGTTGATTTTTCGGAAGCTTATCATAGAATGCAGTAGTTTGAAGTACACTCCCTTTTAATAATATCCTGCCGTTAACTTCAAAGTTGCAAATTATGATTGGTACCTTACATTTACTATTGCAAGAAGTACTATGCTATGTCGACCTTTATAATTATAAAAATAAGACTCACCTAGACAATGTGAAAAATTTTATTGTTCTCCAAATTCGTTTTAATTTTTTTATAGATGGGGATGGAAATTTTGTCGAAATTTGTCTTTGGGAGCTTTTTCTATACTAAGCAGCAGCGTGAGACCTCCCAAATAAAAGGCATTAAACAAATGAACTGCAGAATGAGGTCTTGCTCTTAATAAATGAAGATTTAATAGGTTCTTTTGCCAAATGACCTAACGGTCAAAGGCCAAATAAATAAATAAAATAATAGGTTCTTCTGTGGACTGTGATGCTTATGGCAAATATGACGCAGCGAAATTATGTCGTCGTATGCCACAAATGCCAGTGTCCATGGTTAAATTCTTTTTGTGAAGTTTATATCGGTGAATCTCGTCTATTGGCTCGTAGATTTGATCTAGAGCCATCCCGAGTTTCATTTGATCTATGCCTCCAATCAGTAGTGGTGCTGCTGGTGTCCGACACCAGCCAACTCGATTAGCCGATTTGGCCTTTTCCAGCTATTAGTTGCCCATCTCCGACGACGAGGACGTCAAGTCGGTTCGGGAAGTTTAACCAATGTAAAATAAAAATTTTGTGATTAAATTTTTACAAAGATTACTCCGCTATAACATTGATCTAGTATTTCATCAGAAATATTTATCAGCAGAGTTAGTATAACTATCAATTCAATTTATTTATTATAAAATTGCTTTATTTAACTTACTTTACTGTTTATTCACTATTTTCTTATTACTTACCTTTGGTAAAGTTTAGTCGGTCCTCTTCATTCCACCCACAATATATTTTTTAAATAACAAATTGTAAAATAACAGTATATTTAACAATTATATTAAGATCTCGCTTAACAACAGTGCTCACAAACAAAAAAACTAACAACGAAAATAAATACTCTTGTTATATATTTTCAAACATGGCGATAGCCATGATAACGACGTTGCTTGATTTGCGGCTGATTACATATATTTGTCTTCTACTTTCAAATATTGTTGTTAAAAAAATTTAAATATACTTATTTTTAAAATATTGGTGGTGGACCTTTTAACCGCGAATTTAAGCCCCACTCTAACCTACTGAATTTTTAAATAAAACATTATTTTTCAAATATTCATATATTTTGTTACATCACAGTTTGAGTGTTTTGCTTTACATTCAGATTAGTTAGTTACATTTCACATAAAAAATTACATATATATATCATTTCCCATCACCATACAAAGTCAAGTAAATGAGGAGAAATATATCAACAGGAAAACTATTATTTATCAAAAACCATTATAGTTTCACAGTAAATATGCATGTTTTTATACGTTAAAATCAATTTTAAAATTTAACCCTTTCCACTCGGATGCCGCCGCTTCGACGGCAAAATACATATAAATCTCGCAATTCGCGAGCGGAAAGGGTTAAAATTACAAATATTTAGAACAGAATTCAATTATATAACAATATATTTGACAATTGGTAAAACTTTATGCTCGTTCAGTAAGACAGTGTCAACTGGAATTAAAAGAGTCTCAATGTTAAAAACATGCATATAGATTAGATCAAATGACATTTTTTATTTTGACTTTTTTAAATTTTAACTATGGATCAATTTACGATATAACAAACTCTAATAATTAGTTAAATAGTATATGCATTAATTAAATAAACAACAAAATTTCGTCCCATCAACTCGGATGTACTATCCCGCATTACGTAGTAACGCAGACGAGACGTTCAAATAATTCACGAATTCGTGTTGGCGAGCTATATTTTTCAGTAATCATATCAAAAATCACTTGATCAATTTATAAACAAAATCGATCTAATAATTGATGATCACTACGCGCGCTGTTAAAGAAATCAACACGTAAAAATATAAACGCATTTCACGAATACGCGCAACTAATTTCTTGGAAATTATACTTTTTTGAGAGATATTTAAAATTTTACCTCATCAAATTTAAACTACGTGCACGTTACTAAAATATATTACCAAGATTGTCTCTAGTGAACATCACATTGTTAATGCTTTAATGAAGAATTTAATCATTTCAGCATAATCAGATTAACTTGTTTTTAATAAATTAATTTTTCTTTCACGATTTTATGTTATTATTTATTGTACTATTGAAAAAAAAAAACGTTTTTTTATGTCATAACGATAATCGAAATTTTCGTAAAATTATTTTCCGTTCACCAATTTAATACAAATTTATATTTAATAACATTTTAAGTCTTTTTAGCAGTATCCCGACGCACTGGCAATATCTTTTCAAATATTGCATGGTCGAGCAGTTTTTTTCAGCTAATTGCCGTTAATCATTTTTTAATAGATATTCCTGCTAATAGTGAGCAATATTATTGTATTATATTAGAAAACGTATCATTGCATCAAACATATTACATAATATATTTATCCATAAGTGATGTCTTCTAGTTTTTCTTATAAAGTTTAAAAACCTTTCTTTTATTTAAATAAATAATTATTTGAATGTAACGTCACTAAAGTCATTCTTATGAACAATTATTCAAACACTTTAACATGGCAAACAAATACAATATTGATATCATTTTATATAAACTCTAATGAAAACACAGTAAAAAATCAAACCGCATCACTGCTGACTTGGTTTCTAAAATCTTGATCCCACTATTCACATATAAAACAATTTCACACAGATCTAGTACATAGTATTAATAACTAATATCCTAAAAACATATTTTTGTATATTTTTATTTTGAAAAATGTTAAAAAAACACTGATCGAAGAAAGTAATTTGAATCGCGATGGTATCAGTCACATATGTTGATTTTTGGTACTGGTGAGTTTCTGGAGCCTTCAAATTTTTATTGCATGTGGCAATTTCAGCCTCTATTGTAGCGTATACGTAGCCAATAATGTAAAATTTTAAATACAATATGTAACATTATAAAAATACATATTTAAACATATATATTTTGAATTACAAGATTACTACATAACCAGTTGTAGTAACGTTAATTATAAAACATTTTATAAGTATATCAGGTCAATAAAAACCTATCAATATTTTCATTTAAATAAATATATATATATATATATATATATATATAAATGTATATATATTATAAAATATGTTATATTTTTCTATATATAATATGCGGATGCTGCTCAAAATCACAAGCACCTACTGAGAAGAAGGCACATATGGAACAAATTTTAGAGAATCATTTGAAGAATCTTGTTCAGACTGTTATAACTCAAAATACCACGATTTATCATTTTCAACGCATTTTTTTTACAAAACATGTAAATAATAAATAGTATTTCACGCATAAATATACATACATCTATTGAAATATTTTGTGATGTTTTTAAACGTATTATAATAATAGTACTTTGCTAGTCTCAAAAAGCATTATTCATGTCAATGGTAATATGTGATGTAATATTCAAGTTTTTTTCTAGAAATGTAATTATAACATAATAATTAATTATATAAATAAAATTGTTAACATTTATAAAATATAATAAAATTCTGAAGACCTTTCTTTCAGCTCTAACAATGCCAGATAAACTACAACTCGATCCGAAAACTTTAAGCGAAAGATTTATTTATTCACAACTCATCTATTTATGAGTAATCCGCAATAAAAATAAATATTATTTTAGGCCATTATCGCCCGAACGTTTTCAATTGCAATCAACTTAATAATATTCAATTAATATATTTCATTATGATATGCATGTATATAATATTTCAATATCCGTATGTATGTCTATATATCAATATGACGCTGTGAGTTTTAGTAAGAAGCAGCTACTTCACGCACAATGAAGAAGCCCTATCCAATGATTTATAATCTAGCTATGTTCTATTTCTATCTATTAACACATAATTTTCGCATATATATATATATATATATATATATATATATATATATATAATATATAATATATATTACGATTGTTTAGTAATTATACACACAAATATTGTTACTGTAATTGAATTTTTGGAACGGTAGCTGCAGTAATTCCGTGAAACCTTGCACTACGACGTAATATTGCACAGATGGCCTCTTCAAGTCGCACCACAAGGCGGTGGCCTACAGTTAATGGCGTCCACATTCGCGAATGTCCCGGTTGCCAAGTGGCAACGGTGGCCTATAGTTGTTGATCACCTGCCCACCGTGCAAATCGTCACAAGGGCAATCCTCGGCCACGTCGTAACAACGCAGACTCCTAAAGGCTTCCAACTGTAAAATAGTAAAGATATTTATTTATCTCTGCCTAACATCAGTATAACACAAAGATAGATGAGAAGTAATAGTACCTACTAAATGAATGAGTACATATGCCGAAATGATTAATAAGTGAGTGACGTTTTTCATTATATTAAAAACAAATTTTAATTATCCTGCCAAAGAAGGGATTCATCCTTCTAACGTATATATTCAACTCAATAATTAGATTAAATTATTGGCCAACTCTCTACAAAACATCTGTAGTAAAAATGATCCATAAAAGCGGAAAAGATCCTAATATGGTTACCTCATATAGACCGATCAGCCTTCTACCAATTGTTTCAAAAGTGCTCGAAAAACTCCTGCTTCAACATACTTTAACTAGCGCGAATATATTTCCAGAACATCAGTTTGGCTTTCGGTGTCAACACTCTACAATTCAACAGTGCCACAGAATCGTAAGAGTCATCAACAATACCTCCGAGGCCAAACAATTCTGTTCTGCGGTTTTTCTAGATGTGAGCCAGGCTTTCGATAAAGTGTGGCACAAGGGACTTTTATCGAAGATTAGATCTTTACTTCCATGTGGTTATTATAATATTCAAGAATCTTATCTCGCCAATAGGAAATTCAAAGTACGGGTCAACACTGAAACCTCAATATCTCACCAGATTGAGGCAGGAGTTCCACAAGGCAGTGTTTTAGCGCCATTTTTATATATCCTCTTCACTAGTGATTTTCCAACTTTACAATCAACCACAACAGGTACATTTGCTGACGACATAGCAGTTCTTTCAACACATGCTGATGCACCTAAGGCTTCGCTAATTTTACAAAGGCATCTAAATGTTATAGAGGATTGGACAAAAAAATGGAGAATAAAAATAAATGAGAGCAAGTCTAATCATATAACATTTACACTGAACAAGACAACATGCCCAGGAGTACATTTTTATGGCCAAGCAGTTCCAAGCACCGAATGCGTCAAATACTAAGTATTTAGATCGCAGGCTCACGTGGAAGGACCATATTTGCGCCAAATTAAATACTATAAAAATTAGAACCGCTGAACTATACTGGCTACTGGGACGCAAGTCAATTTTATCCATTGACAATAAACTTCTAATTTACAAGGCAGTAATAAAACCCGTATGGACTTATGGCATTGAATTGTAGGGCTGTGCAAACAAATCCAACATAGCGTTAATGCAACGTGCCCAATCGAAAATATTGAGGCAGATTACTGATGCTCCGTGGTTTGTTAGTAATAAAACTTTACACGACGATCTTCATATTGATCTTATAAACAGAATAATACAAATCAACAGTATAAAACACTTTCAAAAACTACAACATCATTCAAATCATATAGTCACTCAGCTTCTTGAGACATCAACTTCAAGAAGACTGAAGAAGAAGCTGCCCGAAGATAATATCAAGAAACCTTAGAACTACCACAACCTTATATGAACAGAATAGTAGAATCACTTATTGAAGTGATTCTCTAAATATGATTGTAATATCGATCCGATAAATTTATATGTGTGTTTGAAAGTGTGTGTGTATGTGTGTGAGTGAATGACATAAGCCAAATAGCTCATAGAATAGTCATGTATTCTGATTGCTATTGAAAATAAAAATTAAAAAATTAAAATTAAATTAATTATTCTTTACTAACCTGTTCGTGGGACACTTCAATGGGCTCCTTGAACAAAATCCAAGTGACACTTTCAGAGCATGGTGGCGTGGTTAGACTTCCAGGGTACGTCCAATATTTCTTATTCTCTGGGATCAACTTGGCTGGGTCTAAAGGTCCAGGAATTGTAACTTTGTCACCTTTATGCATAACATATGGCAGAAGCTTCACCAATTTATCCAACTCCTCGTGTTTTTCGCCCACCTACAAAAGAAATGAAGAATTAGGGGTGATAAAAACATTTATGATTTTAGAATAACTATAAAGGCACTTTTAAGAATATTTTTTCCTTATATTTGAAGAGCATTCCAATCATAACTGTAATATATATGCTGTTGTGTATAACCTTCATTGTCATTTCTTTAAGACAACTTTTGAGTAGACATATCTATGTTTGATATACTTTTGTAATTACCATTTCTCTAATGCTGATAATATTTTTTTAATTTGATGCAGATATGCAGAGGAAGTGCTACTTTTAACTCCCCATAGGGTAAGTTATTGTAATCGTCCAAAAATCAAAATTGAAATTTTTTGCATTTCTTCGCGTTTTGAAGAATTCTAAACATTTTGGTATACCTCAGAAAAAATGGATGTGTATGTGTGTGTATGCATGAATGGATATAATTTTTCGTCCACGTTTTCGGGCGCACGGATCAACCGATTTGAATGATTCATAAAAACATTCGATTCCTGATGATAGGTAGATGTGCTGCTTAGTTTTTGGCAAAGGTAGGTACTGCCATTTCGGAGATACGGAGCCAAGAGTGCAGAGAATAGAAATCGAAGTTTTGAGAAAACGGAGCATGCGATTGGAATGAGCCACAAAAGATTCAATTCGTAATGAAGGGGAAAAGTGGTGATTAGTTTTTGGCAGAGGCGGGTCCAGCCGTTTCGGAGATACCGAGCTAAATGTGCAAAAAAGGGCTGTTTTTGAGAGAACTAAGCATCCGATTTGAATGATTTTTGAGAACTTTCTGCTTGTATTGACGAAACGATTGCTTTTGGGAAAAACGTTTTTTTTCAATTTTTTTTAGGTTTCAAAATTTTTTTTTTTTAATATCGAAAATAATTTGGATTCTAATTTTAATTCTAACTTAACTTCTTAAGCTCACTTATGTACTTCAAATGAATAATTTTAACTTTGCAATTCAGTTTATATTATTCTTATAAATATTAGACAATGTCCTTCATTTTAATTTCGAATGATTAAGTTTTGTTTTTTATTTTTCTGTGAACATATATAAAATATTTATAATAATCTATTTGAAAACATTTAATATTTCTCGATTATTTCATTACAGTACGGAAAGTTCCAAAAATTTGCCTTAAGGCACGATGCCGTACACCACTAGTTACTTGAAAATTTAGATCAATATTTTCAAGTAAAAAAAATAATTTATATATGTTTTCAGAGTTTTTCTCGATAAATAAATAGCATTGCGCTTTATTAATTTCATTTAAATGTTAGAATTAAACAACCAAATTGAGCTCATTATTAAAATTTGAACAATTGAATTACCAGAACCTTAAAAAATCATTTGAAAAAGGCACAAGTCGATTATATACAAGCTTTTTAAAAGCCTGCGCATATGAATGAATTTGGGGTGACAATTAATTAAATATTGAAATCTTAGTACATGATATATCCAGTTGATGTAAGAATTATAATGCAAAAAATGTTTCAAATATTCTGAAAAATAATGACGTTAGTAACAATCAATCATTTATCATTAATGACATATCACATTTCGGATGACAATTTCATGATGATTCATTCATCTCGTATTGCAAAACAAAACTAATATTTTTTATCATTCGTCTTTGAACATAATTATTGAAACGTAACAATGCAGGATGTGTGATCGAGAACTCTTTCGCATATAATTGCATGTTGCGTAACTGTTAATATTAGCACACATGCGAGATGCAGGTCCGAAGTAGTGATTCATTAATGTCAACTTTAATTTAATGATATAAAGGTAATTTTGAGAAAAAAATCTCTTCAAAATATTTTTTAGAATCTTGACCAAACATTTAGAAATTTAATCCAATACCATCATATGCGGATATTGTACATGAATTACAATCATAGACCACAAATTGCAGTGTACATACAAATATTTTTCTTATTATTTTTTTTAAATTTTAATTACAATTTGTCACACTTAGGAGATTCAGTAATTATTTTGATGTTTATTATATAGATTTTTGAATGGGTGGCAACGCAGAAGTTGTCCAATTCAATTATGACTATACTCGGAGTATTTGCTGACATATTCTAAAAATTATTAGTTTGACTTTTAAGCTGATTTTTTTCAAAAATCACGTATTAGATTTTCAATGTAAGCATTGGTTGTAATGCCTAATAAATGATATAAAACTCCCATGTTTTTAATACTCGTCATAAAAAATTATATGTAGAAAAATTTCATATAATAAAATTTCTCAAAAAAAATTTCATTTTCATTTCATATTTACATATAGAAATTATATTTTTAATAGACTCAATATTGTTACATTCCTTTTGCATGAATCCCCAATTACGTTCGCCCGCAAAACGCTTTTCTTCTTTGATCAAATCTAATTCACCGAATGTGTGAAGTGACAGAAAACCAATTTAGTAAAATATGAAGTACAACAATTGATTGCACCAGAAAATTTGTCAAACTAATGTTATATTTTGACATTTAGGCCTTTTATAGGTTAGGATTTAGTACAGAGATTGTGAAAAACGCTCGAATAATCAAGGGCATCGATTTTTTATTGTTTCATGACTGCCAACTCATGCGACTACTTGACTCAAAAACCTAGCCGTAACATAGTTTTTATCCGTGAATTGGCTAACTGACTTGATTTATAATTTGCACTTTCATAGATAGTCAACATATGTGTAAAGATGACAATTTCTATATTTTCTTGCACCTTTGGTTATTGTAAGTTTGGTACTGTCAATTTTTGCTAGCGTCAAATATTCTGCGTATGAAGACCGAATCTCAACTTTGTGTTGATTCTTGTGAACGTAATAAAAATAAGTAAAACAAATTTGATATATATTTTATATACCTGTTAGAGCAGAATATCGTTCCGTAACGTTCATCATCCGGCATTTCTGTACAGTGTGAAAGCGCCCGACATACAAACGTTATAATTTCGTAACGATGTTACGATTAAACGTTATAATGCTTGCGTAACCTTCTGGAGACAGGATGATCAAAAAGTCGGCCTCATTGTTAATAAATGGGATATATTAGGACTTCAGTAGAGTTTCACAATGATTGCAAAATATATTTAGGATCTAGTAGACTTGCTATCTTATCCTACTGTTAAGATACGATCATGTTTGGCAACCAATCAATGTTCTACGGTTCGACGACCCCCAGAACAACCAGTGTCTTTGACTTCACAGTTTCTCAAATGAACAGCTTTTGAAGGAAAAGAGAGTATATATAGAGTAATATTTGTTACTGAAGTATTCCGGTATTATTAAGGTTATTATTATGTAATTGTATATTTTAACGCAATTGCGATAAAGAGAATGATGTCACAGTATTATTTATCACATTATGTTAAATATGTAACAGTTCCGACTTACAATTAGTGTACCTGATTCGCACTTGCTTATTCTTGAAAAATAAAGAATAATTGGTTGCCATACAAGGGTGATTTATTATATTATCCTTAACAACAAGTATTTTAAATTTCGACACCACACCACACTATCAATTGTAACGTCAAATTCTATATCAGCAAAAGTAATCAAATTCTATAAGACATAATGTGATAATATAAAAATTAAAACATAAGTTCTTTTCTTGTAATAAATATTGCAAGTATTAAAAAAGTTTATAGCGAATTGAATCTTAAGTTCGTCAGAAAATTAGTAATTACTTGAAGCCTTGCTTCAAAAAGTAAAATAGATTGCAAAAAAGTAAAAAAATTAGAATAAATTATGCTCTCTACCATTAGCATAGTATTAATATTTTTTTAAAAAGCTTAGAAAGATTTATTAGAACATTCAAACAAAATCTGTAACAATAATATCAACCACATATAATTATAACGCTGTATATTTTAACAAAGTCTGGGCATAATTAGTAGTTTCACAGTGCATTTATTATTGAAATGATGATTATTCTCATGTAGGTTACAAGGCTCTATCTATGATCGCAAATATATTATTTGCTATATGTTAATTATTATTTAAAATTATCATAGATTAGATTGATTTCTCTGGGATGTTATCTTGATAAGTATCGATTCCAATTTTGTCCCGGAAACTTGTACCTATACACATAATATTGTTATTATGTGTATAGGTTTAAAACTAACTTAAAAAAACAAAATTAACTTATATTATTACCCGCATTAACCCTATTCCCGTAGGGTGAAGTATAATAATCGCAAAAAATCGAAAATGAAAAATTTTATATATCTTTACTTTTCAGAGGTTTCTGAACATTTTGGTATACCTTAGAAAAAATTGATATGTGTGTGCATGTTTCGATACAATTTTTCGTCCACGATTTCGGGCGCACAAATCAACCGATTTGAATTATTCAAGAAACATTCGATTCCTGTTGAAAGTAAGATTCAGTTTCTGAGAAAACGGAGCGTTCGAAAAGCGTTTAGAAAAAAGCCATTTGGCGGTCAAAACTATCATTAGACGAATGCGCATATTTTTTTTTCAAAATTTTCAAGATTTTAAAAATTTAAAAATAAAGTACGGGAAGTTCCAGCAATTTGCCCTAATGCACGATGCCATGCACCACTAGTTTAAAATGTATAAAATCCATTTAAAAAATATCTTCTCTAACGTATTAACTACAAATTTTTAATCGGCACCGTGTTGACAACGTGAAGTCATGTTTAAAAGATTTACACATTCGAAACACCTATTTATGGCCATACAGGTATATGATGAAGCAATTATACAGAAGCTGATGAACCGGTAAGTTTCAGTTTTTTTTGGTTTATTGCATATTTGCGTGTCTTCTCAGCATTTTTTTGCTAATTTAGTTAATTCAAGCTATAAATCTTACTGCTACAATTCTAATATATTGTCACTATATGATAAAAGTACAATACTTTTGTTAACTTCCCGTAGGGCAAGTTATAGTAATCGCAAAAAAATCGAAAATGAAAATTTTTATATATCTTTACGTTTCAAAGGTTTCTGAACATTTTGGCATACCTTAGAAAAA